CGTGGACACCCGGGGCAACGCGCTAAGCTCCTCAAATTCGAGGCCAGGCCCTGTTTAGGGTTTAGGGTTTAGGGTTTAGGGTTTAGGGGTTTAGGGTTTAGGGTTTAGGGGTTTAGGGCTTAGGGCTTAGGTTGTTGCGTCAAGCTAAGTGTCAGATTACAATTTCCGAGCTCATGTTCTGCGTCAAGCTGAGAGATTACAATTTCCGGGCTCCTGTTTCCGTCAAGCTATTGAGAGGTTGCAATTTCCGAAGCTCTTGCTTTGTGTGTGTTTTGTTATTTTCGTCTGTCTCGTTATTTCGTTAGTTATGACCTTCTTTCTTTGCTCTTTGTGGGGTGTTTCTTTAGTTCGTCCTTTTTATTTCTTGTTTTGTATATGTCTTCGCCTCCTTCATTCTTTCTTAACCTATGTGTTTCGCTCGTTCTTTTTTGGGATCTTTCCTTTATTTATTTAGTTATGTCATTCTTTCTGTGTTTGCTCTTCTCTCTCTCCCTTATTATGGTGTTCTTTCTTTCTGTCTTTGGTTCGTTCCTTGGTTCGTTCCTTCTTTCCTTCTGTCTATATTTCTTTCCTTCCTTTCCTTCTTGTTCTCATTCCTTCTCTTTAGGTTGCCCTTCCAAGTTGTGGTTCTCTAGAGCTTTGAATGCTTTACTTGTTTGATGCATTTTTTATTTGTTGTTGATGCCTCTTCCTCTGGCTCGGCTAGAAAAACTGGCACAAGCCCGCATCCGAAACGACAAACTTAAATAAGGCATCGACCTGGGATGATAGGATAGTAGAACATCCAGGATTTGAGGGCTCTTCTTCGATGCTACCCACAAACCTACCACTCCCTACCACCGAACTACTATTAACTACTATCCAAGAAACCCGACACCCAAAGCCGCGAACACAACCCTTGATTTCTACACCGCTCAATCAACATTCCGCAATCTCACACTACAAGTACTATATATACATATATATATATATATATATATTGTTTCTTGCATAATACTACCAAACAGTACCCTAAACCCTGAAGCACCATTGCAGAACGCGACCCGTCCCCCGGCCTCCTCCTAACTCCTAACCTCTGAGCAATGAACCCGAAAAACTCTTGCCTTAACTGCCGCAACCGCCTAACAGCTCTCAGGGTACTTAACGTAAGGCTTCGGGGCTTGCGGGCTTCGGGCGCGGAGCCTGCGGTTTTCGAAACTTTTTGTTGTGTCGCGAGGTGGAACGAAATTCATGGAACTGGCTGGCCTCCTACCGCCACCATGGGCCCGTATCTGAAGTGATCTGCTTACCAAACAAATTCGAACAAACAAGGCTGGCGTGATTCGGAACATCATAGCACTTTGGTCGTGTTCGTGGTGCTATCGGCACCTCGAGCGTGTTCAGGACATCGAGGGACTGGTAGTACCTGGCTAGCCCCAACGGAAGTTCACGTGGATTTCGGGCTGAGGGGTGTTTGACAAGCTTCTGAACACTGTGTCTTGAAATTTCTATCCTCGTCAACCTATCATGTGTATATACATATGCATACATAGAAATTCTGGGATTCAAAGGACCCCAAGCAAGAGAGCAGGGGTGACCCGATGCTTTGTAGCGCTGGGGCCAGTCTGTCCTCGGTGGTCGGCTGCAGTACGCGCGAAGAAAAATAGCAGCTAGATAGTAGTAGCGCGCGAAACCGTGATCGTGCGTGATACGGGTAACAATGAGGGTTGGCTGCCCTCCTCTTAACCCTGAGCCCGGCAGTTTCTTGCGAGTGTAAGTCACTCCCAACTGCAGGCAGGCCTAGACTAGACATGGCAACAGTGTACCACCGGTCCTCTGGAGGTCTGGAAACTCAAACGTCTGAGCAGCTCCGACTCTGAGTCGAAATCGCATGCTGGGGAAGCTTGCTCGATATTCCCGGGGTTTTTGCTACTGGCGGAATGCTCATAATTCCCAGATCCAAGATGAGGAGCGCTTGGGGGTCGGTATCTTAGCTGCGAGACACGACTGTCAAGAGTGGAGTGTTCGGATTTCAGCGTTGGGTAGTGGGAGTCTGCAAATTTGTCAATCTGTGACAGAGATGTAGGACAGGTGGATAATTGCAATCATGTGCTCTATGGCGACTGTGAGCTGTGATCTATGTGTGTCGTGTGTGCAGCGTCTTGCGCTTCGCCATGCAGCTGCAATCAGCCCGCCACGCACTTTTGTACTGCGCTCCGGTGCTGCGAGTCAGGAGCACAGACGATGGACTCAGTGCTCGTCTTGGCAGAGCCCAAAAATTCGGCCTTCCATGTCATCGCGAAGAATTAGCTGAACCGCCGACCGCTTTCCTCCAGGGATAAGCTGGAGTGGCTGTCGTGTCGAACCTCGTATGATGGCCTCCTCGCGGAAGACCACAGCAGAGTCGTCTTCATCGTGTTCAACGTAATCTTTTGCCATCACAGACGTGTGTGGCCACGAGCACTTCAGTAGCTGCAGAAATCTCTGAATCGTGCCCAAGCCACAGTTACGAACTTCTCGGAGAAGCTGTTTCCCCAGGGCTCCAGTTGCCGAAATGGCAGGTAACTGTACTCATACACTATGCAACCCAAGAACCCAAGAGTTGATATTTAGGTAACTGGTCCCCCAGGGCTTGTCTGAGGAAGACGCCTGTTCTGAGAAGATGCTGCCAACCTTGATCGCCCACTTGCCACAGGATCTGCCGTGCGTCTTGCCTTACATAGTCAGCCCACGTCTTCGAGGAGATCAAGGTCACATCAGGTGGTCCTGCCGTGTTAAGATTCCTATGGTCCGTTCTGGGTTTGATAGGATTTGGCAAGATTTCGACCTCAGAGTTGCGGCAACTTCTTGGGGCCTCGGATTCTTGCTTTTGGCTGAACAAACATCGGCGAGAGCCAGTCGTGTCCGTACATTCCTCAGGGAAGGGCTTACACTATACTAACAAGACTCAAGCGGCGTCAGAAGCAATGCAGCCTTCGCGCTGGGCCAGCTAACTTTCTTTAGAGCAATACCCCACAGCTCAAAATACATCCGAAAGGTCTTATAGGAGTCTCAGAACTTCCGAAACCCTGGAGCCTTGTCCGGGATTATAGGGCCTATACTCTAAGAAGCAGAGATTCCGATAAATAAATAAATGAATCAATCAATAAATAAATAAATCAAAATACAATTAAATAAATAAATAAATAAATAAATGAGATATATATATATATATATACACATATATATATATATAAAGGCATAGGGGCCTTTATGAGTAGAAGGGGGCCTCTGATGTACTTCATACTACAAGTATAGAAGCTATACACAGACCATGAGATGGATACCAACTCCGTCCGTGGGTTGTCCCATAGTAGGAGTTAGGATTCGGGGGACCCTTGGGGATATAGACCCTCAAAGTGGGGTTCAGAAGGGTCCCCTTTAAGGAGTCTCCCTAATACTACCGAGGACATAGACCGTGCGGTTTTTAGAGTTTTATAGGGTTTAGGGATCTCAGGGTGCGCTCTCAGACACTTAATTAATGTATGGGGCTTAATAGTTTGAACAGGGTTTGGGGGTATATCATACTATAATTATATTAAGGAACCTCCAAAATAGTATAGCCAATTACTGAGGCCCCTATATTACATGATGTCCTCTCGGTGGCCTGTGTCTGCGGGAGGCCCTGCGTGGTCAAGACCTCCTGCCTCGACATCACACAGACGCAGGGAGTTCATAGCTGCCACTGTTAGGGGCCGTTTCAGCACTCACAACTGGGACAAGCCTGGCGAGGTTCCAAGTACATCGACGATAGCACATAGGGGCCGTTTAGGTTTTAGGGTTTAGGGGGGGATGAATACTTCGAGCAGCTATGAAGAAGTTTGCTGTCATATCTGTTATCTACTTCGCCTTACTGTACCTGTCGTACATGAAGCTCATTCTTGGGCGTTCAGGGTTTATGCTTTTCCCACAGAGTTTAGGGTGCATGAGGTTTGAGGTTTAGGTAAGTGATCCAGCCGACGGAAGCAACCTGTAACCAGTTGGGTGCAAATTTACTTCATGCCGCACATATCAAGCCCAGGAAAACCCTCCAAACCAGCAAGGCTTATCGGGGGGTCTGAAGGAACCACAAACACCAAAAAGACGTTAATATAAGCCTTTACTCAACCCCCAAAGCCCCACAACCAAAACACTAAACATTGACTCCGACCTGCACAAACCGCAGTCCCTGAAACCTTGTAGGAACCACAGAGAGAGAGGCTGCTTATACCAGCTTGCATCGGGTTTAGGGATTTTGGGTTTCAGGGTTTAGGTCATCCCTTGGGCTGACATCTTGGAGTTTAGGAGGGATGGGTTTCGGGGTTGGGTTCTAGTTCAGGCTCAGGGCTTACTTGGAAACTCAGTAGATTAGTAGAACCCCTAACCCCCTAATTTGGGACCCTCTACTACTAAAACGTACTTTGTAGGAGGTTTTTTTTAAGGGATCCTTGCCAGAACCCTTAAAGGAACCCTTAAAGGAATCCTTAAGGGGACCCTTTAAGGGATCTGCTGGGCTTTTGGGGGAGATTCCGTCTCGGGGGTTGCTTGGTTTGGGCGCTTTAGGGGCTCGGGGAGCTTGGGAGTGGATGGCTGAGCTTTTCCTGATGTCTTTTGGGCTCTAGGATTTTAGGGTTTAGGGCTCTAGGGGTTTAGGATTCTAAGGGTTCTAGGGGTGTAGGGTTCTAGGCGTTTAGGGCTCTAGGATACTAGGGGTTTAGGCTGTTTGGGTGAAGCCTGAGCCAGGTGGCATGTCCCGCCATGAGTCCTCCCAAAGCACGTGGAAATCCGGGATGCGGATCTCCTGGCCAAGTTGGCGGCTTATCGGCCTTGCAGCATTTTCAAATATCTGTCCATCTACCTATCTATCCAACCACCCATCCAGCCAGCCAGCCAGCCAGCCACACACCCAGCCCGCCAGCCACCCAGCCAGCCACCAGCCAGCCGCCAGCCAGCCAGCCAGCTAGCCATGCGTCCGTCCGTCCGTCCGTCCGTCCGTCCGTCCGTCCGTCCGTCCGTCCGTCCCTTCACCCCTCCATCCCTCCCTCCCTCCCTCCCTCCCTCCCTCCCTCCCTCCATCCATCCATCCATCCATCCATCTGTCGGTTTATCAATCTGTTACCTTGTGTTTATGTATGTACGTGCATAGCAAGCAAATACGTGCCGGGTTTCTGTTATGGCATCAGGCTGGTATACTTACGATTTCAGAGAAAATCTATCCGAATATTCAACGTCTAGACCATGCAGCCCGTTTTAAATGAGCGTACGGTTCAAACAACCTAGGATTATAGGAATTCGAAGTCTCAAAAACCAAGATAATCTTCTTACATCCTTACATCTGAGAGTTTTGAAAACAGTCCTACACCACAGTAAGAGGCTCTCTGCACGCAGATTACACAGAATTTAGGGTCTCCGTCAAAAGAATATTGAAAGCCTAAGCCGGGCCCAAAGTGTCTCAGGCCAGCGAGACTTCCATGGAAGACTTATACCTGTACTCGCCATTGTAGTTCCTTTTTTTCGTTTAACTCGCTATATATTTGGGAACCTATAAGGGAACCCCTCAAAAGGGACTACAATGGAGACTATACTCTTAGGCCCCATAGTAGTTCCTTTTTGGGATTACCTTATATAGGATTCTAAATATGACCCCCAAAAAAAGAACTACTATGGGGCCTATGGGTAAGCAGACCCGAAATCCGGAAAAAGCAGACTTCGGTGTCCTGGTACTCCGCTGCCTTCACTTGACCAACTTCTCGCAGGAGGTCCCGAAAGCCAAGAGTGTAGAATCGTTCCTGAATCTGAAACCGGGCAGAGCGCAGATAAGATACAAACACGGACCTAGCAAGCTTGGCAGAATCTATAGAAAGTAGCTCTGCATAGAAGGCATACTGTTGCTGGATAGTTCGGTTCGTGTGTCGTGTGTAACGAACTACTTCGTCCCCCTGGGTATGGTGCCTCATGCTTTAACATTAACTGTGCGAGAACCCACAGAAACCCCCTGAAGGCTCGATTCCTTATAGATCCCGTGCAGAGACCACATGTAGCCCTTGAAGAACACCCCTATAGAACGGGGCCCTTAAAGAAGGTAAGAGAGCTAGGGCACAGGGCTCTGGGAATAGTAGGCGTCGCTGGCCAAGCGCGCCAGCTGCTCGGCTAAGGCCGGTGGTAACCTGGCACACGGCCGCACATGCTAGGGAATTCCAGGTTTTGAAGGTTTACCCTAAGCCTCCAGGTACCTACTATAGAGGGTACTAGAGACCCTAGGGCCCTATATAGTAGGTACCTGGAGGGTTAGGGTTAGGATATGAGTGGAAAAGACTCGGGTTCAGGGTTTCAGGCATTCAGGATTTAAGAGTTTCGGATTACGTGTTTGGCTCCTGCAATAATGCCGAGCGAGTCGAGGGTGAAGGGTTCAGAGTTCGGGGAGTCAAGGGGGCTTACCGTTTAGGGTATAGGCTCCTTTGCATGCGAGTTGCTTGTAGTCGACGCCTTCGGGCGTACGCTCGCCCACTAACCGGCCGCACCTGAGCAGTCTCACAGTATGAACCGAGCACACAGTTTCTGCGGCATATTCCTCAAAGTGGTGTAAACCGTGTGTCCGTGTGCAAAGAGGCTCAAAGCGTAGGGCGGGAGCACGAAAACGAAAGCTGCTTCCTTTTGCGCACCTTCAATTCGACCTTTGTGAACATTGCAGTGACACCGGGTGGATGCTCTCGGCTCAAGATGAACATCTCGAAAACATCCTTCAGCCTAACATTTATGTTCGCCCCTCGCCAACTCCAAGATGTCTAGAGCTACCTCATGACTCCAAAATCACACGCCGACTCTTAAAGCATACAGTACCATCCCAGCCATCTACAGCCCTTACACCAGCACCACCACAACACTGTGGACGTGCTGCTACTGCTACACTGCCAACAAAGTGTGTTGGGTCCCGGGACTACGTACCATTTAGACGCCAGGACAAAAGCCGCGCCGCAAGCCCTAAACCTCCTGCCCGCTCTTATCAGCGACCTGTGTTGGACAGCAACGCGACCGGACTCCTTCGTAAGGGTCTTGGGGTTTTAGGAGTTAGGATTGTGTACGGTTTCGGGTTCAGGGTTTCAGGTCTATAGGGTGCCTTGGCGTTCAAGGCTGTAATTAGAGTTTAGGGTTAGAGCATCATGGCTGGCCATTATCACATATCCGAATGCTCTCACGGATTTCTACATCTGCTTCAGACACGTCAACAAGCAACCCAACCCCCTCAAACCGCAGAGCCTGAATGAACCACGAAGTGGCGCAATGCCCTAACCACTTGGCCCGACTGGACCGAACGACGAATGCAGACTTGACGACGCAAAGAATCCTTAATTAGGCCTTTTACAGCATGAAGGTTTTCTAACGCTGATGTTGAAGTTTGGGGATTTGGTAAGCCCCAAACCTGAACTCAGGGGCTCGGGCCTGGAGGCTTTAGGGGGGTCCGGCTTTGAGCTTCGGCTTGAGGCTTGAGGTTAGGGTTTAGGGTTTAGGGTTTAGGGTTTAGGGTTTAGGGTTTAGGGTTCTCCAAATCGCTACTCCATGCCTGTGCCTTCCTATCTGTGTTTTGTAGGGCTGGCAGCTATGAACGCCCAGGCGCTGGGACACGAGCTGAGTGATACGACAGCGGGCGAGCCGCCTGCGAAGCGACAGCCGCAAAGATTACTGAGCCGGAGGCTGCCCTGAGTGACAAGCTATCTTCCCGTTAATGCTAACCCTTCTATAACAATGGTATACGTAGGATCCCCTTGTTTGTCTCAGCTCACCCTGGCCTTCTACCCGATCCTCCACAAGGTGCTTCCTGGGAAGACCCTCTAGACTCCCAAGGCGCTTGGAGCGGCCTGGCTTCAAACGCTTGGGGCAAGACAACAAGGGCGTGGATTCCTGAACTCCTTCATCAGCTCCCGACTTCCTGTAACCCCCAGATATGGTAGCGGATGGCTCTGTCGCGACATAACATCTACCGGAAAGCCGGTGCCTAAAGAGTTCCGGGCTTAGGCGCTCTGTCTACTTAGCAGGAGTCTTTTATCCGGATCTTCAATGCTAGTATTTAGTATGTGTGTGTGTGTGTTTTCGTGTTTTGTGAACTTTGTCTGCTTCTTGGGACATGGAAAGCTTGTGGTTTCAGGGTTTGCAAGCTGAGCGTTTGGGGCCTTTGTGCTGAAGGATGAAGCCTTTAGTACGGCTTCAAGGATATACGGTGCTGTCTTCCTCCAAGCACAAACCCAACCATATACCCAAAAACTCCAATGCCCCTTAATTAAGGTATACACCTTAAATTATAGTAGGATCCCTGATATTTTTCAAGGTATATTCCGTAATTTAGGGGTATTGGAGTCTCTAGAAATCGAAGCCCTGAAATGCAGATTATGAGTCTCCCGCCTCATCAGGAAGGCGGTCGGGAGCTGCTCCTGGCAACAATGTTCTGACCCCTTCTTCTGGTTTAGGGTTTAGGGTTTAGGGTTTAGGGAAGGGCTGGCGGAGGGCCACGGGACGAAAGGTCCAACGACCTATTGCCAAAAGTTCGCTGCGTGACCTAAATGGATCAAACTTAAGAATCACCAGGGCATTTTACCACTGACAACGGCAGCTAATAGCAACAACCCCAGACTCAAACTACACCCCCGGAAGTTAGAACGAACAGATGGAGTACTGTCTCGGTACTAATACGACTTAGGCTAAAAAGCTGCCACTTGATTATGGGTAGCATTCGTACTATTATGGTTCTTGCCCTATCATTATCTATCTGTTGTTACGTATCACAACCATTCCCTAACCCCCGAAGTACCTGATATATAGGGTACTAGAGCCCCTAGGGCCCTATATAGTAGGTACCTGGGGGGTTAGGGTATGTTCCCGAAACACTAAACTTCTTGCCGTATCATTATCTATCTGTTGTTACGTGTCACAACCATTGATATCTTGAGCCCCGGCCTGAAAGAACGGCCAGTTGGCCTCCCAATCACGGGATCGGAGCGGGAGAACCTGGGATGAGGGTTTAGGATTTATAGGGTTTTGAGGGCTCATAGGGCTGAGGGTTTAGGGTCTGAGGTTGGGTGTCCCGGGTTGGTAACACAGGACATATGCGGGCTTCAATTTTGATATCTCAGCTATCTTGTTCATGCGGATCCCTTGCAGGTATAGGCGGTGCAGCGTAGGGGGTAGAAGATTTTAAACCAGTTGCTACTCACGCAACCTCCCCCCAATTTCTGCTTCTCTGGGCCGAGTGCCCGGAACCTGAATGTAAAGCCCTTTCTGATTTAGAAGAAAACACCAATTCGTGCGACCTCTCCGCCCAGAACCATCTAGCAACTTACTCTCGCATGGTTGAAGTTTTTGAACACCGCACCCCTGACCCAAAAATCACCATTGCACCCATGAAGCTGGCATCTGGACATAGCTGGGAGGTGCCAGCAGCATCATCCTGTGTGCATGATCCGGATACAATCCGGTTGCCTCTACTATGTAGGCCATGCGACTTAATAGCCGGTCGCCAGTGTGAGCCTTATCCAACCGCCAAAATCCTCAAACTCCAGCTCTTCAAGAGCAAACTTTGTCCCGTAATTCAGCTCCAGGACAACAATAAGACCAACAGTTATGCGTACCCATAGGCCCCATAGTAGTCCCTTTTTGGGATTACCTTATAGGATTCTAAATATGAACCCCCAAAAAAGGAACTACTATGGGGCCTATGGGCAGTTTGAACCACACCCTCGTCATTGAGGGGTCCATAGGACCTCCTAGAACACTCTTGAAACCTGAGGCTTGAAGCATATTGTCCGACCGAGCCTTCTATCCGAATGCTGCAGGGTTTAGGGCGAGCTTGGGGTTGAGCCTTCGGGCACCTTTGGTCAAGGGGGTAGTGTGGAAAGACACCGATATGGGAGTTTCAGAAAATAAGGGATCCTGATATATGACCCCAAATAGTAGGATCCATATTATAAGGACCCCAAAATAAGGTACCCCTTGTTTTCGGAAACTCCCATATACCAGCCTCAATACATCCTTCCAGAGGCCCGAAGACACCCGGTAAGTGGGGGAGGTCCTGCGTACTCCACGTCCTAAGGTTCAGCTTGAGAGAAGGAGGCCTCCATGATCCATGTAAAGAGGCATAGACGTCAACAAAACGATATTACAACTGATGGACCTAGAAACCCATAGTGAATCCTATACTCAAACCCTGTAAACAAGCCTTAAGGAACCTTGCAAAATGCAACGCAAGCCTTCAAACATCACTGAAATGAGCCTAAAACCCAGTAATTTGGGCTCTCTGAGACTCCTAAACCCTAAACCCTAAACCCTAAACCCCTTAGCAGCTGAGGCGCTTTCGAGCCTCAGCCACTTGCCAGTAGAAGCGCTCCACGCCGAACTGGGCAGAGGCGCTATTTCTCCTTTGTGATTTAAGGGGGGGGGGAGTGAGTGTTCTGTTTGAATGGATATGTATGGCGTTTAAGGGCTTCGCGTCAGATTCAAAACTTGAGGCATGAGGGTTTGGATGGAGGGCCACCAAACGCCTGAGGATGCTTGAGGCTTCTGAAATTTGGAGCACTGGAGGGGACGTAGGTTGTTGAGGGTTCAAGGTTTCGATTCAAGGATTTGGGATCTACCTAATTAGGCTTCTGAAGATCCATGATTGTGCGTTTGGGCTCTAAGTAGCGCAAGATCTGCTGCTGTTGCTGTTGCTACTGCAATATGGCTCGGCTCCTACTCATACTCCTCCACTCCCCTCACTCCTGCTATTCCTTTAACTGTTGCGACTCCTGCTGCGACTGTCACTCCGGCTATTCCTTCTGCTCCTCCTGCTACCGCTACTGCTATTGCTACTGCTACTGCGACTGTTACTGCTACCGCTGCTGCGGCTTCTGCTTCTGTGAGGAGGGAAGGAGCTTGCACACTCTGTTCGTGCGAGGGCTTGAACTCTGCCCTTGGTTCGTCACATGTTTGGAATTTCGAAGAAGTAGTGTCTGTGAACGGGATTTTACGAGAAGTTGGACAGACCCAAAGTGGTGATCTGGAGCAGCCCCTACTTCAGAAATGGACACTTGCGTGAGAGTCTCGAGTCGTGCTGCTGTTTCTGGACTTCCTATGATTCTGACGATGCTGCTGGAAGCACGAGCTGGTAATCCTTCTGGAATGGGACGTCTCGTAGCTTTAGGGATTGGGCTTTAGCTACCAAGACCTGAGGTGTGTAGCATCTCTCAAATCCGAAAAAATACAGTGGGGCCTGGTACAGCTCCATGTCTACAGAATTGTAGCGGGCGATCGCTTCGCGATATTGCGCAGGGAGGTTGTCGCGGATGAAGGCAGACTCCTCGAAGACAGCCAACGTGCTTTTGGAGGTCAATTCGTTTCATCAGGATTGTGGAAACTCAGAAACGAAAGCCCGTAGATGCTAGCATCTTGCCAGATTAAGGTCGTTCTCGCGCACCAAAAACCCCGAACCGAAACCCAAACAAGACCTTACCCAAAGACTCCCTCCGTGATCTGGTACAAACATGAGTCAATGTTTGCAACAAGCTATGCAAGAAAGGAACCCATAACACTTGCAACGAGTAGTTGCAAAAGTGACAGTTAAAGGGGTTGCTTGCAATAGCGACCACACAACTACCCGAATGGGCGAGTGGATCTGCCTGGGTATTGTAGATGTTCTGTGCGGTCCCATCGCCCTCTGGAAACCTTGGACCAGCGAGAGGTCAGCTTGAAGCAGTTTTGCGGGGTGTTCGCAAAGCACGCTACAAGACGCGGACCCTTCGACGTATGTATGACTCTGTAGAATGGGGGAAGGGAGTCATGCGCCTAGTCAGGCCAGACGCTCAGCCAAGCAGCTTCACGCGCTTCAGCCAGGGGTAGAAGGCTCGCAGAATCAGGAGATGGTTCTCGAAATCTTCCTGAGTTTTCGGGTTTCGGGTTCCTGGTGAATTGGTCAGGGACCTACCTTGAACTTGTAAATCACCAGAAAGCCCCGCAAACTCCGCAGTCTCAGAAAAAAGCAATGAGCTTTCATTATGGACCTCAAGCGGTATCATACTGGGCTAGCGTATGAACAGGCTGGCAATTCGGATGGAAACTGTCGAGAACACGGCTTCGTACAACTTCCGAACATCGCAAGACTGGGGCCGAAGCTTGAGAACCCAAAAAGGACATAAGCCTAAGCATTTTATAGGGATATCCCTACCTTACCTTATTGGGCTTCATTCTAAGGGGGATTATCATGGGATATCCCTATCCTAATTTTTGCTTATGTGCTTTTTTGGGGCCCTAGAAGCTACAAGTAGTAAACCCGCAGCCCCAACAGGGCACTCTGTACTCTTGCCTCTCAGGGGTTCAGGACTTAGTGTGAATATACACTACAGAAATATGCACAAAATACCATACCTATGTTTCTAAACGGCGAGAACCACTAACAACGCCTCCTAAGCCCAGAACAGCTGAACAAACCAAGCAGAGCACGAAACCTACTCAGCCCAACACAATCGGCATATAATGAGTTCTTTACCCAAGACATCCCCAGCTGCCAGAAAACACCCTGATATAAATTGATTTTATGCCTCCCCATATACAGAAGATTGAAAAAATATCCGGTGCAGCCCGGGTGGCATTCTGCAAGCTCACGACGCAACGCGAGAGCCGGGCTTTGGCCACCTCCAGCCGTCCGTAGGGAGGGTCGAGCCTGGATTCGGGCTCTGGCTGCGGTGCAGGGCTTGAGAGTGTAGGGCGTGGAACCACCCTATGAGGCCTTAAACCCACAACCGTTAGTATGCCAGACCTTTTTGCTTCAGTGGCCTGCAGTGGGATTGTATAGGTTCTGACCCTGAGAATAAAGAAATTCGGGGAGGGCACTGACTTTTGGGGACTTGCATTGGACTTTGTAAGGCCTGTATAGTATTTTTGTCTCCTACTTAGCAAGGACGTGCCCTAAACCCTAAACCCTAAACCCCAACCCCTAAACCCAAACCCTAAACCCTAACCCCTACACCCTAGCCTGTATAGTATAGGGTTCGGGGTTGAGCTTGTGAGGTTTTCGCTTCATCAGGTTCTGGTGTAATATCGGGGCCTTGATTCCTAAGACCCTCAATACAACCTAGAGAACCCTGAGGCACCTGACGCCCTTTCTCCGAAAGCACAGAGAGAAAAAAGGAACAAAAGCCGAACGCCCTAAAACCCCAAAGCCCTCCAATCCTGAACTCCACGAGCCGTCCAATTTCTAACCACAGCACGCAATATTGCTACAGTCAAAGCAGAAAAAGCAAATACTAAGCGATAGAATTAACAACTATCCGTTATCAGAAAACGATGAACTACATTTAGTCTTTAAATGCAGAAGGCGACATCCTCGCGAGGCGGTTTTGCGGGCCGCCGTGGCTTCGGAAGCCGGAGCTTTCCTAACAGAGTCGGGGGCGGTTAAGAGTTTCAACCCATAGGCGCCATAGTAGTTCCTTTTTGGGGTTCATATATTTAGAATCCTATAAGGTAATCCCAAAAAGGAACTACAATGGGGCCTATGGGAAAACTCTAATTTTACTGGGTCGTGGGGCCCTCAGTACTAGTTATGAATATAGGTACCTCTGTCTCATAGAGGGACATCTAAAAGTTTTCAAAGGTGCCACCTAGTTTCGGGTTTAGGGAAAAACGTGGATTCGATTGTATGGTAGTATGCCCGGGGACCCCCGTATATACCCTCCTTACGGCGAAAGCAGTGCACGACTGCACACCCGGATATTATGTATGCACCCAAGATTATGACCTTATGGCTGGTTCAAGCCACCATGCAAAACTGCACGCACTTTTGTAAATTTTAGCTGCAGGTGAAAGTAAATTACCTTAATCGGGATCAAAACAGTAAAACACAACACATGGGCCCCAAAACCATGTTACCCTGGCTTTTGCACGGGCTTAGCTATGGAGGTGTTTGCCCATAGGATTCGGCCTGTACGGTTTTAGGATTTAATGGTTTCGCTTCGGGCTGCTTGGTCTTTAAATTTGGGGTAGTACCTAAAGTCTCCATTGTAGTTCCTTTTGGGGGTTGCCTTTTACAACCCTAAACCCTAAACCCTAAACCCCAATGGAGAGTATAGGTAGCTTCAGAGCCGGGGAGGATCCCAGGGGCGTTGGTTCCTACAGAACCTATCTGCGGTTGAGCGACAGACAGAACGATGCCAATGAAGGGGCGATATATTTTTGCAGGTATGAGTAGTGTAACGAAAAACCAGCTACTTTCTGAAATTCCAATACCCACAACCGAACATTCCAACAAAACGCGCCGAACAAAGGCTGAACCCTATACCCTCCTTAAACCCTGCATAAACCCTAGGCCGAGTTTCCGGACCGGGGTCTGCAAAGACATCCCCGTCTCGCGCGAGGCAAAGCCTAACGCCGAGCTCAGTGTGTTGGGGGGAGGGGGTTCTAAGAATAATAGCTGTCCAAGGCTGTTGTGACAAAGGCTCTTTTAAAGGGCTTTGTAGCGTTGAGAGGGATGTAGGGGTCGAGGTCAAGGGTTTTAGGGGTTTGCCATAACTAGAGCAGCGGCTCGAGGGGTTTTGCTTTTTTGTTTATGTTTCTTCTCACTTGAAGTACCTTCTCGGTTTTTCTATTGCTAAATTCATGTCGGGCTTCGGGCTTTTCAGCTGTTAGAATCTTATCAACTATTATTGTTCTCAGCTCATGTTGGCACAGAGCAGTGCACCGCGACGGTTTGCTGCGATGGCGAAGGAACCCATCCCTGTCGTGACAACCCAAAAGCAGACATGAACATGCCCACATGTTTGGGTCCTCTACAGACATCAAACTTCGGCTTTGCAGCATTGGGAGTTAATGGAGCTTGTGCCTGGTCCTTTACGTCACCTTGCTCTGCGGCTTCACCTCTATCTTTGCCACCGACATGTGGCCATCACCAGTCATCACCATCAGCATCACCATCGCCATCACCGTCATGATCACTATCATCATCACGATCATCAACATGATAACACTGATCATCGTCACCATCACCATCACCATTGCAACCACCACCACCACCATCATCATCGTCATCATCACCATTGTCATCTGCCATAACCATCATTACCATCATCACCCTCGCCAGCAACATCCTCGCAGCCTTGCGCCAACTCCTCACCACCATCTTCATCTTATTCGTTGGCATCAATCACATCCACGGTATCACTGACGTAAGCAGAGGTGTAAATACGTCACTTGGCCAAGACACTAGCAACCGAAGCGTTGAGGATAGGACTGAAGGAACTGAAAGTCCTGAGCCTCACCTGCTTTAAGTGTGTCAAATGTTTTTCTTCCCATTAGAACTACCCATAGGCCCCACAGCAGTTTCTTTTGGGGATTACCTTATAGGATTCTAAATATGAACCCCAAAAAGGAACTACTATGGGCCTGCGGGTAGCTGAATCAATTCCAAGTCGCTCCCCGTTCTCCCGGTTACAGAACAAGCCACTCTCCTTCGGGAGCTCACGATTCAGGCCTTCGGGGCCGATTCGGGGCCCCTTGAGACCTCAGCCTCAACCACACACCCGGACGGCTTCTACACATTTTTTGAGGAGTTAGAACTTCAGGTCGTCTTCTTTCTTGTCATGGTTTTGCCGTTTGAAGAGGCGTTTCAGCAGCTCCACAGGCCTTTGAGCGACAGGAACTGCAAGGAACGGCAGCTGCACATGTCCTCAACCCCGATTGTGCTAGGCTAGGATTCTGGGCTAGGGGCTTAAATTTGAAATTATGATGATTTTGGGCGTGTAGGCTCAAGCCCTAAACCTGAGACACTTTTCTCAGAATCTCAAAACCCGGGCATACGGCCGAGGGAGAGTATCCTCAGCCTCAAATGCCCTACACTTCGGGGGTTCTGATATACCGAACCCAAAAGTATATCTCTCTTTTCTTAACCCTAAAGCGTACTCCTCTCCACTGAAACGGAGGCGGTCGAAGCGAATGGAGTCCAGGTATGCTTCGAACTCCTCACAGGTGACTCATAGTAAGACTTAAGCAGCATATTAAACTTGTTCGTCACTCCTTCTCGCTATTTGCGAATATATGAAATCGTGTGAATCTAACACGAAACTCATGAATCAAAACTACTGTTTGAAGGTTATCAGGAATGCACATCTCAGGTCCAGCCACAACTTCCCAAGCTGTCCACCTGACCCGGTCTCGATTGTACTGGTTGTGGTTTGGGGGAGTTGGCATGGTGGTTTCAGAAAACTAGGGGACCCTATTTAGAGGTCCCTACAATAAGGATCCTAGTATTTAGGGTCCTATATCAGGGTCCCCCATTTTCTGAAACTCTCGCATCTGGAAGCTTCAGGGTGAGATCCAATGGTACAGCCGCACTCACCACTCCTCCTTTCCGTAAGGGTTGAAGGGTTTAGGGTTTAGGGTTTAGTAATGAGCTACGAAAAGTACTGGTTGGTAATATCATTATCGCTATATATGTTAAATATGCCGGTGGTTAAAGTTTCTGAAAGAACCCTAAACCGAAAACCGCAAACCCTAAACCCGAAGTTGGTGCTTTGGAGAGTGTATATATGTATATACCCAAAACCCTAAACCCTGAACCCTAAACTCTTATATATGTGTATATATATATATATAAATAATAATAGTAATAATAATGATAATAATAACAAATAAATAAATAAATAAATATATATATATATATATATATACAAGTAGTATAAGCTACTTGGGCCCTCAGGGTTCCTATATGTCTGATTTGTCTAACCCCCCAAAACCTCCCGAGTGCCCCAACACCCAAACCCAAGACCTTTAAGGTTTAGGGCAAAGTTGAGGGTGCAGGGTCGAAGACCTTTTCTAAGTATGCACATATATATATATATATTTACATACATATGGTATGTATTTATGTATGTCTATAGAGCGAGGGGGAGGGTATTTATGTATGTCTATAGAGCGAGAGGGAGGGAGAGAGAGAGAGAGAGAGAGAGAGTGTGTGTGTGAGAGAGGGATGGAGAAAGAAAGCCGCTAATGTCTCGTCTGCGAGCCGCGAGCCTTAGGCTGCTAGAGCCCACAGCAGGGCTCACAAAGCCCAAGCTCTTGCTCTTGCGCCCCACGGTTAAGGGTTTAGGGTTGAATCCCAAACCTGTCCGCTGAGCTCTGAAGCTCCGAGCCAACAAGTTTCCACACATCGGTCCTGCAAGGGAACTTGGGACAGGAACCGCATAATCGAGCTGCCTCAGGACGGTTGTCTATAGCTCAGAAGGAGGGCACCCCGGGCTCGAGGCGGTGCATTTCATAACTGTAATAGCAGCAATATCATTAACTCATTAACTCATTAACAACAACAACAACAACAGCAACAACAACAACAACAACGACAACAACAACAACAACAACAACAACAGCAGCAACATCAACAGCAACAGCAACAGCAACAGCAACAGCAACAGCAACAGCAACAGCAACAACAGCAACAACAACAACAACAACAACAACAACAATATCAACAGTATCACTGATACTAATAACAATAATGATAACAATACGCAATAGTAATGTAGGTAAGTACGGCTAGTTTGCGGTATCTTGCATACCTACTAGAACCGTTCGAAGTCGCGAGAGTGCCGGCATTCTGTCTTAGCAACGCTCGCAACAACATGTGTATATAAATTCGTTCAATGCAGGCTTGGGGCTTACATACAAAGGGGGCTGTATATATCCAGGATTGTGACATCAGCGTGCTTGGATACCGAACTTCGCACCATACTTGACGATTCACCTTATGGGCAGTTTTCTAAAATGGGGCCCTTTACTGGGGGTCCTTTTTATAAGGGTGCCGTACTATATTCGGGACCTAAACAGGGACCCTAAATAAGAGAAATTCCCTTGTGGGAATTGGCTGTCGAGGTTAGGTTACAAATGTTAAAGCTCCCCACCAGCCCCCACGGTCGATCTTGGCCATTGGCCTAAACCCTAAACGCCTAAACCCTAAACACTTTTTGAAACCGGACTTGATGACTGCCAGCACTCCAGCCGCGAATCTGGTAGCCCTAAACCTCTCTATCATATGATAGTCTAAACTTTAATACCCTTCGTGGCTCATGGCCCAAAA